ACTATTAAAAAAGAATAGAGACAATGTGGGAGTCGATCAACATCGAGTATGGTAACATTTGAGGAAAATTTTAGTTTTACACTTGAGCATTGTACACTTATATGAGTATCTTGTATAGTATATGAGTATCATGTATGAAATTCAACATATTTATGGTATCTTGTATTCCAAACGCAACAAGAATATTCACCTACCTTAAAATATTCATCTAAAACATAATTTATGCATCTCCCATACTTATTGATCATTAAAGTGTCAATGAAATAGGTACAACTCAATTCATCGCAAAATATAGTACGCTTTGTTCATCAAGTAAGTACAATGAATACACATGTGAAGTACAAGTTACTCGTGAATATAGTACGTTTTGTTCATTCATAAAGTATATGTTTGCCATTCATATAGTATTGTTACACTCTATATATTATTGTGGGGCCAATGCATCCATATAATCGTATTTTAAGACACAGTTCTTCATTTTAAGACTATTAAAAATGAATAGAGACAATGTGAGAGTCGATCAACATCAGTTATGGTAACATTTGAGGAAAATATTAGTTTTACATTTAAGCATCGTATACTTATATGAGTATCTTGTATAGTATATGAGTATCATGTATGAAATTCAACATATTTATGGGATCTTGTACTCCAAACGCAACAATAACGCTCACCTACCTTAAAATACTCATCTAAAACATAATTTATGCATCTCCCATATTTATTGATCATTAAAGTGTCAATGAAATTGGTACAACTCAATTTATCGCAAAATATAGTACGCTTTGTTCATCAAGTAAGTACAATGAATACACATGTGAAGTACAAGTTACTCGTGAATATAGTACGCTTTGTTCATTCATAAAGTATATGTTTGCCATTCATATAGTATTGTTACACTCTATATATTATTGTGGGGCCAATGCATCCATATAATCGTGTTTTAAGACACAGTTCTTCATTTTAAGACTATTAAAAATGAATAGAGACAATGTGGGAGTCGATCAACATCGATTATGGTAACATTTGAGGAAAGTATTAATTTTTCGTGAATACATATGTGAAGTACATGTTGTTCGTGAATATAGTACGCTTTGTTCATCAAGTAAATACAAAGAATACACATGTGGACTACAAGTCTAGTATTGACAAGATATTTTCGAATCGACTAGAAAGTATTTGTTGTTCATTTTTATGATACGCTTATATTCTTTATACAAACTCAATTCATCGCAAAATAAAGTACCATGTGTTCAAAACTTAAGTACAATTCATCGAAACATATAGTACGATGTATTCAATGGAAAAGTACGAGTAGATCTATTGTTAGCTCTACAACAAAAGGACAGATTGTTTATGGCACAATAACACTTTCATATGTTCATGAAAAAAGAAAAAAAAAAAAAAACCCTAAAACACTCTACTCTCCGATGCCTCAGAAAGATAATTGTTAGTTTAGGGCGAAGTATTTTGATATCGCAAGTTTTTGGCCTAAACCAAATGTCTGTAATGTCTAAAACATGACAATATGCCCACAAGCACACAAACAAGCCGCAATCAAGATTCCTATCATGTTGCCTGCATCCATGAACCCATTGAGCTTCCGATTATATCTCCTACCCAAACCTTATTTCAATCAAATTTTCAAGCGGATTACCCTCGATTTCCATCGATTGATCGCCGCTTTTGATTTAAAAAAAAAATTAAAAAATGGATTACAATAGAGTGGAATCCAAATAACAATATATATGAAAATATCATAACTAATAAACAATGAAAAATACTAATGTACACTGATTCCATACTGTCTTCTACATTATATGATACTAAGTTTTCCCACAAATAGTACCAAATTTACCTATCACCCATACTGTCCGAATAACGGTTACATACTATCTTCCCCATTACATGATACTATGTTTTTCCACCAACAGTACCAAATTTACCTATCACTCATGCTATACGAATAACGGTTACGTACTATCTTCCCCATTATATGATACTATATTTTCCCACCAACAGTACCAAAGTTACCCATCACCCATACTATACGAATAACGGTTACGTACTGTAAGTACCATACATCCATACCATAATTATATTAGCACGATACTATAACGTGTCATATTCTATACTATGTATCACACAATAATTAACAACCATAAAAAAATGCATCTCAGCAGTACATAAACGGATGGAGACCTACCAGCCTTCGGTGCGAACCCCCTTTCCACGCGAATTAGCTTCATCTTTGCGGATCATAACAATGTCGACCACACTACCCAATTTCACATACAACTTTCCCGAGGAGCCAAGTATTGGAGGATCAGTGCATCTAGATGGACATGATTCCACTTGTTGATAATAGCACCATATATCTCCATTGAGGTCGAATTACTTTTGATGGAAATAATGTGAAGTTGATCTTGAAATCGACAACTTCCAAGAATCACAGGGGACACATCATTTGGTACATTATTTGTAGCCATTGTGGAGTGGGTGGGTTTTACAGTGATTTTTTTGTCGAAAAAAAGGAAACCAGAGTAGAGAAAGAGAGAAGAAAGAAAGAGAAGATGAAGAGATAGAAAATGATGAGAGTGAAAAAGGAAGAGAGAGAATATAAAAAAAAATATTAAATTCATATTGGGGACTGGTCTGTAAGTTAAATGCGTGAGTAGGGACCGATCTGCTTGGAGAAACTAGCTAAAAACTGATTTATGTTTTGTGTTTTGAATTAGGGATTTATCTGTAGTTTCCTATTTTTAAGAATTAGGATACTAATTATAAATCTCTGTAATCATTTATTGATTTATGGGCCTGTTAGGGAAGCCCATGTAAAAAAATAAATTAAATAATCCATTAGTATGTGGGCCGATGCTGTAATTCGAATGGGCTTAAATTTGAAAATGCAAATTCACAAAATTCTAAATTAACGTTTCCACATTTCTGATACGTTTCGTTACCGATACTCGAGGACACCTATTCGAAAACTATCGGACATCTTATGGGCTATTTTGCAATTTCTAAAAAGTTAGAGACATGTTTGTATAACAATTTTTTTAAATATTTTTGTTGCTTCCTTAATTATGTACATGATTTAATGTCAATCCACAAATTGATAGTTGATAGAAAATTATATTTTGAATATGTTTGTATGAAAACATATAAAAATAATTTATTTATAAATATAACCCTATATTTTTAATATTTACACGTTTCCCTAAACTCCCGTATCCTCCTTTTTGGGACAAGTTGTTTCTATGTATTGTCGTTTCTGTGTATCTGCTACATACTTAGACCTTTGCAATTGCAATTTTTGTAGTAAACACAATGGAAACTTCCAATAATACCTTCAACTTATTAAATTTTCGACATATTAATTTAATATATTTTTTACACTATTAGAAGAATTTTAAAAATAAATAAAAGGAAATTGATCTTTCAATAATAATTATTATTATTATTTAAAAATTGACCAGACAAAATAGAGAGCTGCAATATTAGACTTTCTCCACACCAAAAAAACATGAAACAAGCAGTGTATGATATTAGTATACTGGGTCAAGTCAACTATTTGCTATTAGTATTACTTTATTAATTAACCAGCTTATATTTAATTATATTAATTATCAATTAATACTGTCATAATCTGCTTCTGGATCACCAGTTAATCTTTCTGAAGGCACAAAGAACTATTTGGTAGCCATGTTTAATTATCATTAGAATAATATTATAATATAGATTAATCATTTGACTTCAATCATCATTGACTTTTTCCTCCCATTTTTTCACATTAATAAACAAGATTTCTCTAGGTTGGTGGAATAACTACAGCTGTTCCAATAAATAAATAATAATAATAATTTGTAAAGTTTAAAATTGTAATTGCATAATTACCATTATTTACACCTTAAAATACAATTTATTAAAATATATTTCAATAATAAAAAAAAATCTAATATATTACAAATTTTAAAAAAGAGAAAAAAATATATCTTAAAACTGGTAAATATAAGCCGCCAAATACCTCTTAATCATAACTATTTATTGGCCAATAAAGTCAACTACTACTACGCACTAATAGTCTTCACCACATAAAATCCAAATTCAATAATATTTTAGTTTTTATATAAAATTCAAAAGAGAATATATTGAGGGAGATTTGCTCCAACTCAACATGCTATTTATTTAATAAATAATTAAATATAATATATATTTGTAGAGAGAGAGAGAAAAGGGGTAACTTAGTCAAAGATAAAGAATACAACTCAGAAACGTTACGCGCACAACTTATCACCATCATCATGTGTAAATATTGGACAATAATATTTAGGGTTAATTACATTTAACCCCTCTTAATTTAAGCTTTATGCACACGAACCCCTTGTACTCTTAATATAAGCATATAAACCCCTTATTAGAAAGATGGAATTTTTGAAAGTATAAGGGGTTTATGTGCTATATTGAAAGTATAAGAGGTCGTGTGCACAAAGTTTTTAAACTATAGGGGATGTAAATGCTATTTATCATAATATTTATATAAATGTTGACATCACTTAAGAATTTAAAATCAATAAATTAAACTTTGAGTAAATGTTTAAAAACTCATTAGTGGGCTCATGACATATATTCAATTTCAAGTGCATGACGTTTGTGAGTTGTTTAATTTAATATGTGATTTTTAAATTGTTGATCACAAATAAATTAATAATTAAAACAATTGAATGTTTCAGCCTATTCAATATTAAAAAGGGTAAATAACACTTTAACCCTTATAGTTACAAACTTTTACATATGATCTTCTTATGCTCGTAATATCACCACATAACCCATTTTTTTACAAGAATATTTGTGTTGACAAAGGAGATGGGAAATAATTTGATCTAAAATACATTGAACCTTCTTGCCTATTTTAATTTACACAAATATATATCTAAATAAAGTCGAAGATAAATTAATACAAATAAAATTTCGAAGATTGAAAATAAATTTAAAAAAAAAATCATTTTTTTATTGCTTTTGTATTCTCTTCTTCCAATTGTCTGGTAAGAGCAAAAGCAAGAAAACAGCAAGTATTTTGCCTTATTGGAATATTCCACCTTAATTAAAGACTTTTCATTTGTCTCTCCCTCTTCAAACTCTATACAACTGACCGTACACTGTACACACACACACACACACACACACAAACAGATAGTCAAAATACATTATGAAATAAAGAAACCAAAAGCCCAATCAGCTTCTGCTTGCTTTTACTCATTATGTAATTTCATGTTTCAGAAAACCTTAAAGATTGAATTTTGTGTTCAAATCTCCAAAACCCATCACTCATTTCTCTCTAAAAATTGAATCTTTGAGCTTAATTTCTCTTGTTTGCTATTTTGTTGGGCTGAAATTTCTTGAAACCCTCTTCTCATTTTCTCCAAGAACGCATCTTTTTACATTTTTCACTCCTTTTCTGCAAATTCATGTGTAAAAATAGACATTCTTGAGGGTTTGGTCAATATTGTTTGGAAGCTGTAAAGAAATTAAAAAGAAAAAAAAATGTCTGAAGCAGCAAAAGTTCGTTTAGTTCGTTGCCCAAAGTGTGAGAAGTTATTACCAGAAGTTACTGAATATTCTGTTTATGAGTGTGGTGGTTGTGGTACTGTCTTAAGAGGTACATTTTCTCCCTTTTCCTCTGTTTATTTTCTTGCTATTTTTTTAAGGAAATTGTGAATTTTGGCTGGCATTTTATTGTGATTGGATGAGTTGTTTATTGGGTTTTGATTTGTATTTTGTAGTATCACGTGTTCTGCAAAATGTCTGAAATTTTGGTTGATTTTGCTTTCTCTGTTATATATTTGTGTTGCCTTTCTTTCTTTCTTGCTGAATGGTTGACTTTATATAAAGGTGTTGACTCCGATACATTCTCGGTCAACTCCGAGGATGAGAGAATTGGAGCTTCCGTAGAGAAGCTCTCCGAAAGATTCGATAAATCAACAAACGTATCCGATAGAAGAACACCACCACCGGTGGACCCCCCCACAGCCATCACCAATGGCTACGAAAGCGATGTTCAGTCAAACGTTAGTTCATCGAGCCGAAGGACCTATCGTGAGAGATCCGAAACCAAGAGGACTAGTTTGACAAATAAAGAAGAAAATCGGGGAGTCGATGCAAATTATGTAATCCAAGACAAACCGAAAACCGCTCAAGGCTTGGTCGATGGACTACACAATCTCGAGTACAGCGGAGAACAAGATCGAGAGGAGCTCCTGAAAAAATTGGATGAGCTGAGGGATCAGTTGGCCAAGGGTAAAGAAAAAGGCCCGGTTGATAATCGAAGGGGGCCACCGCCCCCTCAAGATCCTTACGATGCTCCGTATCCCGATAAACAGTTTAGAAGGCCGACTGGTCAGCATCAATATGCAGATCCGCCACCACCACCACCACCTTATAATATGCACCGTCAAGAAATCGGGGGCGGCAATGGTTTTTATCCTCCGCAATACACTCCAAATCACGTGCATGGATATCCGGATCCTTCGCGGCCCCACATGCACAGACAAGATCCTTATCAAATCTCATCTTCCCGTTCGTATATGTCTTCCGGACATTACATGGAGGATGAGGTCATCGAACCGTATCCTCGTACTTTTAGCCATCATCAAAATCCTCCACGTCATCATCCGTCTTGCTCGTGTTACAATTGCCACAACGAGAGACGAGGGTACCCCACCCCTAACCCTATTCTCCCTACTTCTTACAGCAGTAAGTACTCTAATGCATCGAACGATAGGGCTGCTTTCCCTTACCACGATTATCCTGGTTCGTTCGGTTCACGAGATAATAATAATCATCACCACAAATTCTCCAACCCTGCTTCGATAAGATCTCATATTGCTCCTCAATCACACTCGAGATGGCCGAGTGATGTGGGTTCTGAAGTGGATGGTTTTGCCCGTCGGCCGCCTCCGAGAGTTCGTTTAGCCACCTCCGCCGCGAAGCACTGCCGCCCGATTGGCGGCGGTGCTCCGTTTCTGTCATGCTACAATTGCTTCATGGTGCTGCTTTTGCCTAAGAAAATTCTTGCACAGAGTAACAAACGAAAGCAAACGAAGTGTGGGGCTTGCTCTACAATCATTGTTTTTTCGGTTTCAGACAAGAACTTGGTCGTTTTATTCGACGAAGAGCCTCTAGAAAACCCAGTAGAAGTTGACAAGAAGCGTGTTTCGCTATCGAAACACGAAGATATGCATCATATGAACCAAGTTAGGGCCCGCCATTCTACCTCCGAGGCGAACGGAAATTCCGCTTCAGCTAATAAACCGTCGAATGAGGTTAAACAGGCCCCACCTTCTTCGGGCTCGTCTCTTCTAGACCACTTCGAATATTCGAATATATTTCATGCAGCGGCGAAAAGTGGCGGTGGAGAGGAAAATAAAAGTGGACGCTCCGAACAGCACGAGAAAGTAGTGTTGCCGAACAAGCCTAATAATAATAATAATAATAATAATAATAATAATAATAATAATAATAATAATAATAATAATAATAATAATAATAATAATAATAATATTATCAAGCAGATGGTGAGGGAAGTGTCTTCAGCGACTGAGATAAGTTTGCCTTCGAACGAGTACAAATATAGTAATACGGGGACAACCTTTGACTCGGCCGAACCAAGCAGAGATGGTCAGAGTCAATTAGCTGCTGCGCTTTTTGAGGGATATACAAGTTCAAGAAGACCCGGGGAATCTTTCGGAGAGGAGGTTTGTAATGTTACTGTTAACGGGCATTTAATACAGGATCGATTGATCAAGAAAGCCGAAAAATTAGCTGGAACTATCCAGCCTGGAAATTACTGGTATAATATGCATTCTCCATTTCTCTTAAATGTAAATTATGAATAAATTATGTTATTACATGCTTATATGTTTGCAACCTTCTTCAACTATAGGTACGATTTTCGGGCGGGATTCTGGGGTGAAATCGGAGGTCCTTGTCTCGGCATAATTCCTGTAAGATTCAGTGTTGAAATAGTGATTAAAAATTCGGTCTTGATTAAAAATTCGATCTTTCATTGGTTTTTTTTTTAATTGACGAATATGTTTTGTTTTCTTGCAGCCGTTTATAGAGGAATTTAACTACCCTATGCCAGAAAAATGTGCCGGTGGAAATACGAGTGTGTATATAAACGGAAGGGAATTGAACCAGAAAGATTTGAGTTTACTCGGAAATCGAGGGCTTCCGAAGGAACCAAATAAAGCATACATTCTGGAAATTTCCGGAAGAATCATTGACGAGGATACTCACGAGGAGTTGGATAGCCTAGGCAAACTTGCTCCAACGTGAGTGAAATTACCGTTTTATTTGTTATATTTTCGTATCTATTATTAGAAGATGCATCGATTTAAATAGTTGAGATCAATTCTTGAGTTGAATATAACTTCTTTGATGTTCTAGTTAAAACTTGTTTACTTACTCGAGATTTTTTTCCGACAGTGTGGAGAGGCTGAAGCATGGATTCGGAATGAGAGCAACAACGAAAGCAGCTTAATTCATTTTTTTTATCCAGTGAAAAAGGATTGAAAGCAATATTGAATGCCGCATGCAACTCTTGATGTTTTACTGTGTTCGGTTTATGGGTTCGTATTTGTGATATCGGGCATCTTCGACGTGTAAAAATTAGTTTGATGTCATTTATTTTTTATTTTTTTTATTTTTTTTATTTTTATACAAATCCGGGAAACAAGAATGGAATTGAATCCTGGGAGAAAGAAAAAAAAAACAGATAATCCACAAATAGTGGATTTGTTATTTGTTTTTTTGGTCATTGATTGGGCTGAAAAGTTGTGATTTTTGTGAACTAAGGGATGGGATTGTAATTTTATATTTATTGATGGACATAAATGTAAATGTATTTTTCTGATGTGAACATATTTTGCAAGGATTTTTCTGTTTGGCCTAATATCATTATATCAAGGACCTATGTGGGGTTTGCGATTCTATGGGGACCTCCCCTGTAAATAATATAAATGATTCCGAAGGGGACTTAATTATGGATCTAAAACAATAAAGAGAGGGCTCTGTTTCTACAAAAAAAGGGTAAATTACAACCACCACTAAGGTATGGTAAAATTACGAAAACTCCATCTTATTTGGATAATTACAATTACACATCAACTATAAATCTTCTTACACATCCACCCTCGCGGTTTCAAATTTCGTAAAGTCTTCAAGATTATATAGAATATTATCACTTTTGTACCCACTTTATCCAATTCGAACCCTACATTTTGAAGCAAGATGATCATAATATGTTTTTTTACTAGCATATATCAGATTATGGTGCATCAGAAACTATATTTTTATACAAAACGAGTACAAACTAGTGCACATTCCATGAAATCTAGATGATTATGTCGAATTTGACACCATAAGGATGTAGGTGTAGGGAAAAATCATAATTGAAGGGTAGATGTAATTATCCAAACAAGAGGGTTTTTTTCGTAAATTGACCATACCTCAAGGGTGGTTGTAATTTACCCACACAAAAACTCAAATCGAGAGTCGAAGAATTGTACAGTTATCCAAACATATTTGCTGAAATGCTCAACAAACGACAAAGTAAAGTAAACGAATCGAAATTCAGCCACACGAACACAATGAAGAAGGTTTATAGATCATAGTGGCAGAAATTATGAAACAAAAAAACACTCTTGAAATCTGTATTTTATTTAAAATCAAACACTCGATAGACAGAGAACCTCAGCAAAGTTCGTTTAGATAACAGTTAAGCTCCGTTTTCTACTTGGTTGAATTTGCCGACTCTTGCTTCTTTTTATCACTCTTGAGTAACCAATCCTGCAAAATGGAAAAACGCAACTATTAAGCAGCTATGATTAGTGATAAATGATGGATTCGGGCTATTGGCGAATTCTCCAAATTAATCGAGGATAACACAAGGCATTTCAATGCCTACATATTCGAATATTTAAGACAGCAAGATTAGTGTACAAATTATTCTTTTAAGAGAAAACGAAGAAAAATAGCAGACACTCGTAACCGAAAAATCGCTTCAAAATCATCAAAGACATGTTAAGAAAATCTTTTTAAGGTACATTTGCATTTGGAAGAACCAGATTCTCGTACAAACTTCTCTTAACCGAATTCATATCTAATTGACATCAACTACAACCTCGCCAGAAATTCGGAATCGTAATCCTCAACGGATAGTACATCTTATAAATAAAAAAAAAAAACCATCGAAGCACATTTAAACAAGCAAAACCACACTTCAATTACTACGATCACAATAATTATATCACGAATCAGTTATTAATCCTCACCGTTATTCGCACATTGAAATCTAACAGAAAAGTGAAAATTAGGACGAAAAAATATACAGATAATTTTATAAACGTTCACGCTATACATTACACACTGCTCTTATAAGAGTACACAACCTTGTTACACCTTATATATAGTGCTCGCTTAAACGTTCTGAGAATTTTAGAATTGCTTGACAACCCAAATTCAAATGTTCTTAGAATTTTCCCAACACGGAAATAAATATGTTACAGTGACATAGCTGTAGCCTTTTCCATTAACCACAACGAGTTAATAATTTTATTTTTATAATTTTTTTGCAGGAATTAGTGATACTCTATACTATATATTACTAAGGTCAATTTACTAAAATCAAGTAAAAATTCAATCAATTAATTATAATGCACGATTAACGAAATCCTCGTGAAAATTTGCATCAAAAGTAATTAAAAAAAAAAACAGGTATAGGAAAAACAGCATCATCAAAATTAGGGATCCATCCAATAATTTTGCCCAGGTAAATAAATTACTCAATTTCGTTCTTCCGATCCAAAACAAATTCATATAGAACAACAAAAATCAATCCCTGCGCAGATAATTTACAACACAAGAGAAACGCAAAACCGAATTTAAATACCACAAACACGAAGAAGAATCATGACTCAATAAGAACTGAATAAAATCACAAAATGGATGAGAAAAAAAAACATACGTTCTCGACGAAGAGGAGGTCGGCGACGACGACGGTCCCAATTATTCCGGCGAGAATAGCAGTCGGGCCGGTTAGCAGACTCCATTTTCGGTAAATCATTTTTCCTTGCAATTTATCTTCAACCTCGTTTTCTCTCTCTTCTCTCTCTCACTAGCTTCTCGATTTATGTTTATGTATATATGGAACGGGTCTTCTTAATGGGTTTTCAAGTTATTCAATTGGGTTATACATTATTGGGCCGGGCTGAATCACAACGGGTCGGGTTTGGTTGGGTCTTCATGTGGTTAAAAGTAATCCAAATTGGGCTACCGGTTAAGATTGGGGTTCAAAATGGGCCTAATATTTTAGGGGGAAATATGCAATACCCCCCTCATTTGGAAAATATTTTGATTGAAACCCAATTGACTTTAAAGACTTTTTCCATAACCCAAATCCCAATTTAAATTAGTGAGACCCCCTTATCAGATATGGTAAGACTAAAATACCCCTATGGGTAGGATTTTAATTTTATTCCTCATTTTCACACACACTCTCCCACGTTTACTCTCTCTCTTCTCTTTCTTCTTCTTCTTTTTTTTTTCTTTTTTTTCTTTGCAGAGCTCTCTCTGTTCTCTTTTTTCTTCTTTTTTTTTTTGTTTTTTTTTTTTTGCAGAGCACAACTGCCGCCGCTATCCACCGAGATTTACACCAGTGCCGCCGTTCTCCTTCGAGATTTCTACCGGCATCGCCGCCCTCCTCCCTTCTTTTCGCACCACCGCCATTATCCACTCACCCAACCACCGATCACAGCCGCCGCCTAGGGTTCTGCCGTCAAACCTCCCCGAAAACTCATATTGTCGTATGCGTATGGATATGTGGGTCTGTGTGTGTGTTTTGTATGTGTGTGTGAAATATTGCAACTAAAAAGTGTGTGTGAAATATTGCAACTAAAAAGTGTGTGTGAAATGTATCCGTGTGTGTGTTTTGTATCTCTCTGTGTGTGTGTTTTGTATATGTGTATGTGTGGAACTATTTCTTCTTAACTTTGTATGTGGGTTTGTGTGTGTGTGTGAAATGTATCTGTGTGTGTGTGTTTTGTAACCGATTCGACCGATTCGACCGATTTAGTTGAGTCAGACGGCGGAAGAGAGGAGGCGACGAAGGAAAACTCCGATGTGCAGAGTTCCGCCAGTGGATCGAGGAAGGAGGAGGGAAGTGATAAGGTGCGCCGCGGTACTATGAGTGGCGATGAGCGTGAACACGAGGATCAATCTCGTGCCGTGAAGGAATTGTCTGCCGAATCGCAGCTGACTTTCTGCAGGCTATCCGGGCTAATAAGCTCGGCTCTGTCTTCGAGCGGCGGCTCCGGAGTCAGGTGACATATTCATGTTCATTATTCTTTTTTTATTTGAAAGATCTTTATTTATTTTATTAGTTTATATTTTTCACGATGATTTTTTGTTTTTTCACAATGGTTTGGTTTAGTGGTACGGTGCTGCACTACAATTGACGTGCTTTATTTATTTTTCTTATTATTAATTTAAAGATTGTTGAATATGATTATAGTCATATTCGAATATGTTCCATTTTATCGTTTCATGTTGACTTTTAATAATATGATCCAAATTGTGATTTTATTGTAAATTTTTTTTTTGCGTTACTTGACATGTTAGTGTAAGTTTCAATGTGTTTGTTGTGACTGAAATGAATTCACATAATATTATATGAATTGCATTTAAAGTATAGTGCAGATTCATTCAGCAGAATTATTCACATAGTAGTCACATTCTCATGTTTTTTGTAGTGCTGCACATCATGTCGCCAACCTTGATGATTATGTTGAAGTATGGAGGGTCGTTTGGGGTGAAGATATGTCAGGGTGATTTTGTGTATGAAGACCTCGTCAACTCCCATCCCGCTCTCTCGTTATTTTTCTATCTTTATTTATGTATTTTACGATTTTTTTTCTAGATCTGAACAGAAGTAGTAACATTACTAGTCATATTCGAATATGACTATAGTCATATTTATGTATTTCTCGATTTCTCTTTTTTTTTTTTTTTTTTTTTTCAGATCTGAAAATTGTATTTTCAGATCTGAACAGTAGCAGTAACATGACTATTGTCATATTCGAATATGACTATAGTCATATTTATGTATTGTTTGAATATGATTGTAGTCATATTCGAATATGACTATTGTTGAATACGACGGTAGTCATATTCGAATATGTTCTATTTTATCGTTTTGAACTTGACTTCTAATAACTAGATTCAAATTGTGATTTTTTTGTGTGGATGTTGATTGGATTATTTTCGTAAACAATAAGGAACCTTCGTTGTTTTATATAATTTGGTGAACATGACTATACCACACTATATAATCGGAATTGTTAAGTTGAAAAAGTGAAAAACTGCAATATAAAAAATAATATGACTACAGTTAATATAGTCACATATAGTCATATTCAACTATAGTCATATTCGGCTTTGTAAATCTGTCGAGAAAAGAATTTCAATTTTTTCTTTGAAAAAAAAAATTAAAAATATATTTTTATTAAAAAAATATTAAAAAATAAATAAATAAATAATGGATAAATAAAATTCGAAAATAATAAAAAAATAAGAAATAAAAAAATTATTTTTTTATTTGGTAGCAAATTTTTAGGGATTTAGAAGCAAATTTTAAGGAAGGAATTAGATTATTGTTATGGAAAGAGAGAAAAAAGAAATAATTGAGAATAATTATGTTAATTGACATAAGGGTAGATTTGGGAATAAAATTTCTAGAGGGTTATCACAAAGAAAGATTTAAGGGGTGGACATATCACTATTTCTTATCTATATGGGGGGTGTATTGCTAATGACCCCATATTTTAGTCCGTAACAAAAACAAAGCATTTTATTAATGTTTGAAATATGAGATCATAATTAAATAAAAATGACCAAAATAGGCACCGACGCCATGCTGACGTAAGTATTGACATCACCACATGATGAAAAATTGCACTACTATCTATATTCCTTCTAGAAGGAACTGCCATCCAATCCAGTAAGCCAATCAGCTTTCGCCACTGAGTCATTCTTTGCTGCTTTTGCTGATTTAATAATTGTATAATAATTACTAATAATTAATAGGGATTTTTATGCAAAAGTCCCCAACCAAGCATGTTTATTATTCTAGGTATAGGGGACATATCTCTTTCACCAATAAGCCCATCCCTTTAATATTTATTATAACTAAAGGAAACATTCATGTATATCCCAATATTACCCTCAATCATTTATACCCAATTCTTAATTGTAATCCAAATTAATCAATTTTGTCCATAAAAGTTCAATTTTGACCACAAAAATTCAATTTTGACTTTTTTTTGGAGTATAATTTAATATGCTCCAATTTCATCCTTAACTTAATTTAATCTCAATTTGACCCCAAATTTCACAAATTATTAAATTTTGACCCAAATTTTTTTTTTTCAAAAACTTTTTTTTGCCGCCGGATTCCGGCGTTGACCGGCGGTAACGCCGGTCTCCGGCGTTGACTTTTTAAACTTTTTTTTTTTTTTTTTTTCTTCCGGATTTTTTTTCCGGATTCCGGCGTTGACTTTTTTTTTTTTTTTTTTTTCTTTTTTCTTTTTTTTTTCTTTTCTTTTCTTCCGGATTTTTTCGCCGGTTTCCGGCGGTCTCTTTCTTTAGTGTTTTTTTAAGTTTTTTTTTTTTGTTTGGTTTGTTTTGTTTTTCCACGTCCGCCGCTACACGTTGACCGTAATTGTGCTGTCACTGACAGTAATTTAGCGTAATTATACTGTCAATGATAGTTAATTAACGTAATTGTACTGCCGTTGACATTACATTTATGTAATTGTGCTGCCGTTGACAGTAAATTAATGCAATATTATATTTTTTTATTTATTATTATTTTTTTTTATTTTTTTTGATTTGTTGACAAGTCAACGTAATTATATTACTGTCGTTGACAGTAAAATAACTGTAAACACAATAATATTACTGTCAACAACATCAATATTATTATTTTTTTGGGGTGTTTGTTTTGTTCGAGTTATTCACGAAGTAACATAATAATATTACTGTCTACTATTGTAATATTACTGTTGCTATAGTAATATTACTGTCACTCACAGTAATATTAATTCTTTTGGTTTTTTTTATTTTGTTTACATTTGTTGAACGGACAACATAGTAATATTACTTTATTATACAATAATAATGAATTTTGTTGTGTTAATATTAATGTGCTAGAGATTAATATAGCAATATCAATGTGTTAAACTATAGTTTAGTTAATTTTACTGTGTTTAACAGTAATATAGTTAATATTACTGTCATTCACAGCAATATTGCTGTTTAAACGGAAAAAAAAGTTACAGAAAAAAAAAAAAAAAAAAAAAAAAAAAATTAAAAGTCAACGCCGGAGACCGGCGTTGACCGCCGGAATCCGGAAAAAAAATCCGGAAGAAAAAAAAAAATAAAAAAAAATAAAAAAAAAAAATAAAAAGTCAACGCCGGAAACCGGCGTTGACCGCCGGTCAACGCCGGAATCCGGAAAAAAAATCCGGAAGGAAAAAAAAAAAAAAAAAAAAAAAAAAAAATTTAAAAAGTCAAAGCCGGAAACCGGGGGGAAAAAAAAGTTTTTGAAAAAAAAAAAATTGGGAAAAAAAAAAAGTTTTGGGTCAAAATTGAATAATTTGTGAAACTTGGGGTCAAATTGAAGTTAAAGTAAGTTAAGGATGAAATTGGAGCATATTAAAGTAAGAGGGGTTATTTTAGTCCTTTACATAAATCTGGACCATGTGTGGACTTATTGGTAAAGGAGAATATTGTCTGGATCTCTTTATGAATAAGTTCCCACTGATGGGCTTATTTGTAATATGCCCTAATTAATAATATATATGTTATCTTAAGTAATAATATATAAAATGTCAAGTCAATTTTGTTTAATAAAATATTCCAAAGTTACAAAATAATTTTAGGGTAATGATATACGCAGGTCAAATTAAACATTCAGACATTTTTTTACCATGATTTTTTACCTTTTTACCATAACTATTTACCTTTTCTACTATTCCTATCCAATAAAAAAAAAATTAAATTTTTGTGCTCGTGCAAAAACATGCGAGCATTTCAACAGTGCTCATCTGATTTCACACGAGCACTGTTGAAATGCTCGCATGTACGAGTACTTTGCAACCACTCGTGTGTTTTTACACGAGCAATTAAAAAAAAAAGGCCTACTCGTGTGGATTTACACGAGCACAGTGGATGCGCTCGTGTAAATTCACACGAGCAGGCCAACGTGTGATTTTTTCTTTTTTTTTTTCCGGATTCGTAATCTACATAACAAGAGGATCGTAAAAACGTAAAAATTACCTCCGATCTGTTGACGATTTGCACGGGCTTTGCGAAAGAAAATCGAAAGGTTGAGAGAGTTTTTGAGTTTTTTTACTTTTTGTTTTTTGAAGAATAGTAAAAAATGTGCCTCAATGTTTAATTTTAGCCTGCACAAATCATTTCAGATAATTTTATAGGTTTATAAGTATATCAAAGGCCACTGATCATGTGTAATATTCCACAGCATCTTTTTTATTTAATTACATGTAAATAAAAAATAGAATTACAAGAGAAGTAAAACTCACATGCAACGAAATCGAGAATCGTGCTAGCATTTCAATTTTCACATGCATCTAACTTGAAAATAATTAAACTGGCATTAATTAATTAATTAATTAATTAATTATTATAATATCAATATAAATAGTAAATCCAATTTTTACATCAAGTGTGTGCCAGATACTCTCACCATCGTGCTTTTGCTTGAATCATCACCAAATTTATGAGTATCTTTCTAAATATGGCACGATTCTCAAGATTATGTTATTATGATATATGGTCAAATCACGAAAAAATTCTCATCCTTTAATAATTACAATAACCATCAATTATGATTTTTTTTATAAATTTATCTTTGTGCTGATAAATTTAGTGAAATTTTATAGATTATTTGAATTATTATCAAGTTTGTATTCGTTTTATTCTATTCAAGCTCCACCTTTTCAAATAAGACGATCATAAGTAGTATTGTCTATTGGTTTGTAAATATCAAATCGTGATGTATTAGAAACTCCGATTTTTGCAAAAAACGTAGACAAATTAGAGAATATTTCAGGAAAATCTAGAATTAAAATTTTCGTAATTTGAACTTAACTCGGTAATTTACACGCACACACTCACTCACACAATAAATTACTTTATCTAAAAGAAAACTCGAGTAATCTAGCATCAATCATGCTGACTGTACATAATTTCCGACATAACACACGATCACGTGACACAATACATACGTAATCAATCATCATCCCAAAAACCTTTTGAATATCTCTTTTTCCATAATAATTAATTTCATAACAATAATTACATTCATATTCATTTATTTCAAAGAGAGGCAGCCAGCCAGCCAGCCTGTTAATAATTCAATATTTAATTGTTCTATATATACACACAATATATACATACACTTTTTTCACTCTACCTTGCCATCATTAATAATCACCCCTAAAAAGTTCCTCCCCATAATAATTACCCAATCTCCACCGCAGCTATGGAAACCACCGCCCACGCGCCGCCGCACATCGCCATTCTCCCCTCACCAGGAATCGGCCACTTAATACCCTTGGTCGAATTCGCCAAGAAACTCCACCACCGCCACGGCTTCTCCACCACTTTCGTCATCCCAACCGACGGCCCACTCTCCGCCGCCCAAACCACCTTCCTCTCCGCCCTTCCCGCCGCCATCGACTACATCCTCCTCCCCGCCGTCAACTTCGACGACCTCGCCGCCGACGTCAAGATCGAGACCCGCATCTCCCTCACCGTAACCCGCTCCCTCCCGTCGATCCGCGACGCCTTCAAATCCCTCCACCAGTCCAAGACCCTCTCCGCCGTCGTCGTCGACCTCTTCGGCACCGACGCATTCGACGCCGCCCGCGAACTCAACATCCCACCTTACATCTTCTTCTGCTCCACCGCCATGGCCCTCTGCATGTTCTTCCACTTGCCCACCCTCGACGAAACCCTCCCCGGCGAGTACAGGGACGCGCCGGAAAAGCTCCGGATCCCGGGTTGCACCCCGATCCACGGCCGGGACTTATTCGACCCGGTTCAGGACCGAAAAAACGACGCCTACAAATGGGCCATCCATCACGCCAAGAGATACAAACTAGCTGAAGGAATATTAGTCAACAGCTTTCAAGAACTCGAGCCCGGCCCGGTTCAATTCCTTCTCAAGAAAGAACCCGGCAAACCAACCGTTTACCCGATCGGCCCGTTGATCAAAATGGGCCCATCAAAATCCGCATCCGCATCCGAATCCGACATCAGTTTGAAATTCTTAAACGATCAACCAATCGGATCGGTTCTATACATTTCGTTCGGTAGCGGTGGTGCTTTATCACATGCTCAAATAATCGAGCTAGCAAACGGTCTAGAAATGAGCGAGCAACGGTTCGTGTGGGTTGTTCGATGCCCCAACGACACGAACTCCGGCGCGTCGTACTTCAACATCCAGAACTCCGGCGACCCTCTGGCGTATCTGCCAGAAGGGTTTCTGGAGCGGACCAGGGATCTGGGCCTGGTGGTCCCTTTATGGGCCCCACAGGCCCGGATCCTGGCCCACGAGTCCGTCGGTGCGTTCCTGACGCACTGCGGGTGGAATTCGGTTCTTGAAAGCGTCGTCAACGGTGTGCCGATGATTGCTTGGCCGTTGTACGCGGAGCAAGGGATGAATGCGGTGATGTTGCACGAGGATGTACGCGTGGCGCTGAGGCCACGTGTCGGGGAAAACGGGCTGATCGAGAGGGATGAGGTGGCGAAAGCTGTCAAGGGTTTGATGGAAGGTGAAGAAGGGAAAGGGATTAGGAGTAGGATGAAGGGTTTGAAGGATGCAGCTGCAAAAACGTTGGGTGAAAATGGCGATTCTGTGAAGTTGCTAGATGGATTGGCTGAGAAATGGAAGAGTAGTGGTAGGAAATGAAATATTTTGGGACCTTAGTGTAAAATACTTTAATTTGTTGGGTGCTTTGTGAAATAAGAAGAAATCGATTGCAAAGGTGCTCGTGTAAGTTTGTTTTTTTTTTGAATAGTTTTTGTCTTGGTATATATATGCTTGTTTATGTTGAATAATCAATATATGATTAAAATTTTGACATTAAATAATTAAAAAGGGAAAGGGTAAATTACAACCACCCCTACCCCTGAGGTATGTTAAATTACGAAAACCCCCTCTTGTTTGGTAATTACAATCACTCCCCTCAACTATAAATCTTCTTACACGTGCACCCTTGTGGTTTCAAATTTAGTGGAATATTCTTGATTATATGGAATATTATGACTTTTGTACCCGTTTTATTCTATTCGAGCTCTACATTTTTAAACAAGATGATCATAAGATGTGTTTTTTGGCTTGTATATATCAGATTGTGGTGCATCAGAAACTGTATTTTTATACAAAACGAGTACAAACTAGAGCACATTCCACAAAATCTAAATGATTCTGTTGAATTTGACACCATAATAGTGGATGTGTAAGAAAAAAATACAGTTAAGGGGTAGATGTAATTATCTAAACAAGAAGGCTTTTTTTTTAAATTGACCGTCTCATGGCTGTTTGTAATTTATCCTAGTAATATAATTACAATTTTGACATTAAATAATTAAAAAAGGAAATTACAAATATAATAAGGGTAAATT